ATATATATATTTTGGTGCCTCTGTATCTATGTAGATTTTTGATTCATGAACGTATATTTCTCTGACATCAGCTATAGCAATCAAGAATGATTTTACTTAAAGAACCACCTAATATATTTTAATATTGATGACAGAACAAAAACTAACATCACTTAACAAGCTTTAATTTTATTATAACCAGTTTCAAAGTTAAAATATATGATAATAATAGTAATCCTAACAACTATTTTAAATTGCTTTGGAATGTACCAAGCACCATCCATAGCATTTCATGACTTGCTTATTTGATCCTGTGAAGAAGATGCCATTATTGTCTTTTCCATTTTATAGTCAAAAATCTTGAGGCTTCATCCTGGATCTTAACTTCTTACAATTTTATTTATCTAAGATTGCATAGCTAGGACATGACAGACCCATAATTTGAGTCTTTCTCTGATGCAGATATTTTGTGTTTATTTTTGTGTTTATCAGGATGGACTTACAATAACTCCTAAGATATTTGAATTCTCAAAGCTCATTTGCTATTTAATCCTTTCATAAATGGAATACATATTCACACAAACTCATTGTCACCAAGTATACTCAATTCATAAAGTAGTCTAAATAATATAATTTGGCTATATTGCAATTTGAAAACACTGTTTTAAGGATCAAAGATGAGAATATTAATGCCATTGTTTTCAAGAGAAAGTTCATTCTTTCTAGAGAAATGAGAATGGCAACTCTAAACATCTCTCAGACCCTAGTTTGCCACTAGATGAAGGAAGCTACATGAACTAACTCCACCTCAAACTGATGGCACTCATACTGATGGCCACTCTTCGTAATTTCTGCTTTGGCATTAGACTAATCGATATGCCAGTGTGCTATTTCTTAGTTTTAGCAACTGTTTATCTTCTTTACCTCAGGAGAGCCAGGCTTTCAGACTTCTGCATGATGAACTTTTGAATTAAGCTGGGGGCAACTGTACACTACTGCTTGTTTATAAATCTAAGTCTAAAGCAGGTAGCCCTTTAGGATGATTTCTAAATAAAGTAAACTTTTTTCTCCTTTTAAAATCTTATACTAATGCATAGCAATAGTATATATCCACTGGGTATAGTGAGATACTTGGATACTTATATACAACATGTAATAATCAAATCAACATAGCATAGGTATCACCTCAAACATTAATTTTTTTGTAATCAAACATTCAAATCCCTGTCTTCTTAGCTATTTACTCATTCTACTGTGTTATAGAATGCTAGAATTGGGCCAGGGATTTAGCTCAGTGGTTTTGCCACCTGCTGCCCAAGCGCAAGGACCCGAGTTCGATCTCTGGTACCAAAAAAAAAAGAAAAAGAAAAAAGAAATAGAATCCTAGAATTGAATCGTTCTCTCTGTATTTTTTGCACTCACTAACCAACCCTCTCTTCCCTCTCTGTGCCCCACTCTACGTTGCCACTGGTAACTGGATTTGGGGAGATTGCATTCACTGCACAGGCTGCAGATAATATACTACACTAAAAGTTACTCATTCTCTTGTTTCTCAACACACATAGATTTGCTGAACTCTTGACCATTTTGAAGTGCCCTCTGGTATATCAAAACTTTATAGAGTTATTTTAAAAATGTAGGTGTTGGTTTTACCGAACTCAAAGTCAATGTACCTTAGTACTTCCAGTTGTGTGAACTATTTGATATAATTAATAAATTTATGTGTTTTGTTCTTTCACATTTAATATATAAAATATATTTTATTAAGCAACTTTATTGTCAGAAATATTTGTCTATTGAGTAATAGGCACTTTTATTAAAGGAGAGATGGTTGGAAAGATGGAAAAGTTTATAATATAAGGATTTTATACTTTTAGCTTTAATAAGGATATATATTTTGGGTTCATGTTTTCAAAACTATATTTTTCTCTGTTAACCAAACACACACACACACACACACACACACATTCATAACTCTTCCTTAATCATCCCATGGTTGACTTATTTATGGTAAATGAAATGAATTCACAAATCAAAGTTAAACATAGTGAACATCCTTGTCATAAATTCTCATTCCTCTATGTTTTGGGGTATATTTGGATGTTTTTGGTAACTGATTTTATAACTTGCATAATCAAAATTATGTGACCACAATAAAAAGACAGTACAATAAAAGGATTCTTTCGCTCTGTTACTGAAGCACCTCCTGGGTGCAGGCCAGCAATCAATGGGTCTCACAAATATAGATTAGTATTCTCACTCATCTGTTGATCAGTACTATAATTTACTTCCATAAATGTTTATTCAGGAAAGCCCTACTATGCACAAGCTATACTGTGAAATGTTCAATAAATATTTGTTGTGTAGCAAATAATGTCAGTGAAGCAGCATAACTCAACATGCTACATGGCATACATGACAATAAGTTTGAAAAGTTAAAAATGAAAACTACTAAGTTTTTCAACTGATCACAGTCAAATCAGAACACATCAAAACAGCTGGTGTTCTGTGACTCAGAATCAATCAACCAGTTTTGAATCACCTCATACTTTTTTATTTCTCTTTGCAGTTTCATGGAAGAGATTTAAACCAGCATATGTCCTTCCCATTTGGTTAAATCCCTGCTTTGAGCTTCTTTGCTTTTGCATTCTAATACCAATGAATGAAACTGTCTGTAATATAAAAAAAGGCTAACATTAAAATAACTTTTTAAATGATGACGCTACATTTGTGTAAAATAAACCATATGTTCAAATAAAATGTCCTAGGAGAAACATGAAATTTTAAGGTTGTATCCTGGAATGAAGATAATTCTACATCAGCAGTGTTTATGTAACTTTCAAAACATGGCAATAGTTATTGATATTTTCTAAATATAATATGAATATATTAATTAGTAAAGAAATGATACTTTGGGAAATTCAGTATTAATTGAGTAAATGAAAGCTAAATGTTTTAATGTGTTTTGGTTTCTGATGCAAGGTCTTCTCTTTGTTCTGATAGGTACCTATTACACCATTCTTCGGCAAAAGCTATTCAGCAGCGGTGACATCTTCCAATCCAACACTCTACAAATTATTATCTCTGGACTCTCAGCTGACACCCTGCCGGAGGCAAGAGCTACTAAGCCAGCTGGAACTGTGCCTTTTCTCTTGTCAAGTTTTTTTTCTTACACAGGAAAAAGAAAAAAAAAAAAAAAGAGAGATGAAGTTGGGCAAAGTGGAGCTCTGCCATTTATTGCAGCTAATTGCTCTTTTCCTGTGCTTCTCTGGGATGAGTCAAGCAGAGCTCTCAAGATCTAGATCAAAGCCCTATTTCCAATCAGGAAGGTCCCGGACCAAGCGCAGCTGGGTGTGGAATCAGTTCTTTGTACTGGAAGAATACATGGGTTCTGACCCCCTCTATGTAGGAAAGGTAGGGCGCTCGGCCTTTCAAAGTTACAAATGATTGTTGTAAATGTCTGTGTTAGGATTAAGAACTGCTAATTTTTGCTTTTGAGGATGCAAAGTAAAACATTACTCCTATGAAAGAATGCATGAGTTGTATTTAGAGTATTGTCTAGTACAGTAAAGTCATAATTTAAAGAGCAATGCTTTATTCCTAAAAACAAATGAGAAGTCCCAGAGGTCTGCTTTGCCATTATGGTAGTACACTGCTAAACTCTTTCCATGGAAAGTAGAACAAATTTATTCAGTAAGAGATGAAGAGTAATAGGTTCTAATGCCAACTGACTTTCTAGCTGCTCTTCATGTATCCATGCATCTATGTTTATATATCAAGTATATCCTAATACTTATGATTTAGATACTATACTCTATCTTAGCCAAAAGGGTGAGAAGTGATACACTTATGATTTAGAAAGTGAAAAGTGAAGTAATTGAACCTATGGTTCTAAATTATTAACACACAAACCTGTTTTTTGTGACAGTTTGTTTCATAGATATTTTTGTTTTTTCTTTTTAAAATTTCCTTTTAGTTAAAGATGAACATGAGCTTTAGTCAATTATAAATGACATAGGCAAATGATGAGCTGTTCATGGTAAATGTATTTACAGGCTAATTGTAGCTAAATTTACATTTTTTTCCACAGATTGCTTTTGTCTGAGTATGTGGGCAGGAAACTTTCCTCTGAAGTCCTATACATGACTTTTACTCTACCATCCATATATCATTTTCCAGTTTACAGACTTTTTAAATTTCTAAAGATTTCCTAAGTTTTTCAATTTATTTCTTATCTCTGGTGAAAGTTTTCTAAGTAGGGCATATCAGCAAGAAATATAGACTTCCTTATTTTACTCTTCACTGTCAGTTTTATGCTTCTGTTCCTCATAAAATAAAACATAGCTAACTGATGAATTTATCTACAAGTTTGTAAACTTTGAACTGTTTTAAAGAATCTTGATTATTTATTCCATGGGTCATTTTTTTCATTTGAACCTTAAGAAAGGGGGAAAACATCTTTGTGGATGGCCATTTACATAATTCAAAGTAATATTTATTATATTGATGACTATTTCTTTACTGTGCCTCTATATTTTATAAATACTGATTAGTACTATATTATAAACAGAAAGATGTAAATAAATTTATGATATCTAGGCCAATGGACTAGGATTATTTTAGGACCAATGATAATATTTCACTTTCCTCAGAAAGCATATATAAATGCACAAGTGTTTTTGTGCACATGCATTTTTTCATAGCCAATCTCTTTTAGCAGTGTATGGTCATATAAATTATATATGTACTAAATGTTCTCCCACCCTTTAGTAATTTATATTCTTTTTAGAAAAAGAGAACTGTAATCATAATATATTTTATTGACTAAGAATCTAGCTGTCAATCTCATTTATTTTTAATGCACATTTAACAAATATATTCAACTTTCTTCAATGGACAGATCTGCAATTCAAAAAGAATCAGAAGCTATTAAGTGAAACTGCTTTTCGTGACAATGGAAAATTTTTAAAATACCAAAAATATTTCTATTAATTAGGTCTGAAGTTGAGCTGTCTGGTTCAGCTTGGTATTCTAAAGCTAAATATCATTATAAAATTCTACAAAGGCAATTTAAATTTTTTTTAGTATTTCTCATAATTCAGAATGTTTATACTCAAATAATTCCTAAATTTTGTAACTTAAGTGCCAAATGTACATGAAGTTATTGTGAGATGATGTTTTACTTTTCAAAGAGAAATTTTGGAGTTCTTTTGTTGAGGGAATCAGAAAAGATCCCTTAATAGAAGTATATGTGTGCAACCCAGTCATTCACACTGAAATCTTCAGGATGGAAATTATTTTTATAATTTTTTTTTAGTTTTAATTAACTAAAATACAAAATTCAGTACAAAATGAGGTAGGGCAAAGATTTATAAATCAGAGAGAAAAATACAAGGCCTTATGCCAACAATTTATATTTCTTTATAAAAACTTTAACAAAGAACAGAGTACTAAAGATTGTATACATGAGATGGTGAAGTTAATTTTTGTTTGGTTCCTGAGTAAGATAAATAAAAATAGCTTTGGCCTCAGTACATTTTTAATTACCTAGGTATATAAAATTAATTGATTCTTCTGTTTATATAATTGAAGGAGGTGCTAACTAGGATGACAAATATTTATAAAGCAGAGAACTAAAAGTTGTAGACAAAGATTGGGAAGAATGGCTAGGCAAGTAATCATGAAAAGAAAATAAAAAACTTTATTGGAAATTTTCACATATGTATGGTCACACTTTTAGTCATCTGCTCAATATCTAGCTGTTTAGGTAATCTGGAAGATGTATGTGATGACTTTGACAAACTTTAGAGCTTATTTCGATCATATGATGGGTAAATACAGTGTATGTTAGATTGATGTCAGTTTTATTGTTGACCCTTAGCTAATTAACTTAGGATAAGTTGCCTACTATTATTAAATTTTAGTCTCCTTGCCTGTAAAAGGGGAATAACGGCATCTATTCAATTCTTTTAATTAATAATTGTTATAAAATATTTGGAATATGCATTCAGCTAACAGACATTTTATACTTTTCTACATTTTATACTTTACTATATATTCATTATAAATAGACAGTTATGGATAATCTATCATCTTATGTGTCATATGGAATATATTAGATCTCTCAAATTAAAGCAGGTATTGTTTTATGTACTAAATGTTATTTATATTTCTTCCAATTATTTGAAGAAGTGATTGATTTTGGGTACCCTTAGAACTACAGAAATTATGTCTACATTTTTTCTACCCTTAAAATTTGGAGACATGTTAATATGATTTCATCATTAGAACACTGTGGTTGATGTGGTCATATGACTTTCAACTTCATTATTTCAGCTAATTTACTGGGTTTACTTGACAGATGATAAACCAAGAACAAAGTAGAACTATCTGTCAGATGGAGCCAGGGATGCTTCTGTGAGTGAGCCCCCACCAGGGCTGAGACTTCAGGCTAGACTGCTAGTGTGACCTCTATCATCAGCTTTCCACTGTTTCCTTGACTCTTGACCTTCACTGTGTAAACTTAAAGAAGGAGTCCTTAGTCTTTACTCAGTGGGTTTTGTTTTAAAAAACAATAATGCATCCCTGACTGTATATCTTAATTACTGTCATGCCTGTTTTCTTCTCATCATGTGGGGAAAAAGAGTGGAGCATCCTTTCTTTTCTTGCTGCCACTGTGTGTTGCCCCATGGGAGGTCACATTTTTCTGCTCATCTCATTGGATCACACTGCCCTTAGTCATCTGGGGCTTTCCCTCACTTTGGCATTTCCCATAGCCTAACCATCTTACAAAAAAAAAAAAAAAATCCCTCTACAAAACCAGCTAGTCTCTGTTCCTAGTATTGGGTGTTTTTCATCTTTCCTAAATGTAATGGGCTGCCAGCCCATGGCTGCGCTGGAGGCTGTTACTTTCACTGAGATGCGCACTTTCTGCATCTTGCACAGTCGGTTTCCCTCACTGTTAACATAACTCTTGCCTTTTTTGCTACTCTCCTTTCTTCCTTTCTTGTTCAGGGAGAATTTATACCTATTACCCTTTTAGAAATCAAATACATAGAAATTCAGTATTCAGGATTCACTTTCCTTTAAATTGAACCTTGCTTGAAAATTTTGGTGATCATTTTTGATGCATTTCATTACACTTCAGCATCTCTTAGGAAGAGGTTCTCTATCTCCTGATTTCTAAAGCTGCATTCAGTGTTCCAAAAACGAAATTTTCATCATGAAAATAGAAGTTGAATTACAAATTAGATTCCTTAGCTGAGAAATTTTATATTTTATACAGAAAAAAAAAATAAATCCCAAGTATTAATTACTGAGGGAGGAACATATTTATCATAGTAAAAGATCTACATTTTATAGACTCTGGGGAAAGAACAGAGAAAATATACTTTAAATTTGCATCCTGGCTAAAGTCAGGGAAGTCAGTTAAGGGAAGACAGGGACAGCTTAGTTTTCCTAAGAATGTATAGAAAACCCATTTTCATAATATCTTAATAACCCGAGTTAATTTGTAAAGGCCCTTATTCTTGCCTTCTTGTTAGCTTGCTGATAGAATTGTGAAGCTCCTGGTGGTTTCAAAAGGAGTTTGGACATGGATTAGCCCTGTGGAATGCAAATAAATTCAGATTTAAAAAATACTTTCTACCAGTCATTTCTAACTTTTGAAGTATTCTAGTGTAACTATATAGTATTAGATACATTTTTCTAAACATAAAATCAATAATTTATCATTTTTGTGTTTTTTACCATATTGAAAATACAATATGTATCATTGTACTACTAAAATGCAGAAATCCACAATTATTTCAGTTCAATACTGTTAAGTACCTTCAGTGCTATTTTAAGATAGAAATGGATATTGTAATTCCCTTAGGCTTCATCAGATGGAACGGTGCAACTACAAGGTGAAGGAAGCAGAGAACTTTCAGTTATATTCTTAATTGTACATAGTTTAGGTTAGGCTCTAAATTTCCCCTTCTCTCCATGTTAAATCAAAATTATCAAAAAATGCTGTCCTTCACATCTATTTGCGTTTATACACACTCTCCACTTGCTTATAACTGGAGGTCATAAAAATAAAGAATAAAATTTAGTCTACAAGATTTGTGATTTTATGTTGTATTTGTGTTAGATTTTTAATGCAAAAGAGGGGACATAAACTGAAATATTGATTCAAGCTTTTCCATATAATGTAAACTTTAATTGTTTAAGCTTCATGTTCAGGGCTCACTGACACACAGCCACAGACCCCGCTGCAGTCTTCATGGCTAAGGCACGTGGGAGAATTAGATAACAGCAGGACAGTCATCCAGCCTTTCCTGGTTTAAAGATATATAGACAAGCACTATATTGGGGGAAATTTTATCCTATTCATTTTTCTTGGTTTACGTAGATTATAAATCTTAGGTTTA